AAATACAAAAACAGATTTAAAAGAAATGTTTAAAGAAGCAAGTCATTTCGATAGTGAATCATTTATTGGTGGATCAAAATTAATTATGAAACGATATCAATCAACATTAGATGCAATTAGAAAATCAGATAATTATGATCAAGGACGTAAAACATTCGGTGAAATGTTACATACCATACAAGTTAGTATATTTTATTGATTTTATTTTTTATTAATTAATTAATTAATTAATATATATTTAAAGGATTTTTATAGTCATACAAATTATATTGAACTTGAATATACATCACCAAGTGATGTTCTTGGTAAAAGAATATTTCAAGAAAATGAATTTGCATCAATTGAAACAAAAACATGTATTAGTTGTGATGATGAACAATGTCAAATAAATACAAATTTTGATCAAATAATACAAAAAACAAAATTGCTTACAAGTGGTTATTTTATACCAATTGGTTTTAATTTATTAAGAAAATTTAAACCAAAAGGAAAATGTTCACATGGAGGGTCTTTTGATAGTACACAAGATGATGAACCAAGAGGTGGTATTAATAAAGATAAATTAAAATCTATTCATGGTCATTTACATTATCAAGCCGCTAGTATGGCTTATAAAGCTACTGTTAATATTTTAACACAACTTCAACAAGATATTGGTGATGAATCTTTTGGTTTATTTTTAACATTAAAAAAAAATTTAAATAGTCTTATTATATCAATTGATACATCATGTTCAATTGGTAATTATGTTGATTTAGCTAAAGATATATCAACTAATATTATTAATCAATATAGTAAATTAGAATATGCTCCACATAATTATATATTAATATCATTTAATAATAATTACGCAAAGATAATTATTAATACTCGTAAACCAAATAATTTAATTGATGCTATACAAAATTTAAGTTCATGTGAAAATTATACTTCAATATTAGGTGGAATGTATTATAGTAGTCTTATTGAAGGATTAATACAATCTGAATATTCATCTGTTATTTATACATTTACAGATTCAGCAGCAAGTGATAGTTATTTAAAATATAAAGCACGTGCTTTACTTCGAAATAAACATATTGTTATTTATTCATTTTTGGGTCAACAAATGAAAAGACTTCTACTTAGAAAAAAAATTGATCGTATTGATCAATTAGATGAAAATGATGATGATGGTAATGATTTACCATCGATAAGTGGTGGTTTGACATATCCTATTACTACTAATGATCGATCTGTTATTTTGGAATTTATACTTCGTCGATTAGAATGGACAAGATTACAAACTTTGGTTATTTTTAAATCGAATGCAACAACAATTACATTTTATGTTGATTCATCAATTGATGAACTTCATATTGATATATCATCAACAGGTTAATAGAATATTTTTAATATCTTTTTTTTTAATTTTTAATTTTTGTCTAATGATTCATGTATAATTATTTAAGGTAGATGATAGTATTTGTCGTGAGACAAACTTTTGTCATTCAATCTGAGGTCGAATATTTTTTTCTTGAGTAGATTTGTCTCGGATGACTGGCGCCTACCTTTTCTCTCGTTCTTTCGTTTCATAGTTGGAAACAAAGAATAATCTTCTTCATATCTCACAATTCGGATATCATGGTTATATGATAAAATATTTTCTTGTTTAGGTTTCTCTTATTTTATACACTGTTTTATTTAACAGACAGCTCAATTGGTAGGTATTGTTGTCAAAATTTAATAAAAGTTTTCAGACTGTAGATTTAGTCCAAAGTCCAATCAGACTCGAATCAGACACTGATATACGATCAACAATGGTTTAAAAAAGAAGTTCATCAATCTGATTTTGTGAACTATAATCTGAAAGGATTGTTAAAATAAATCAGATATATAAATTCGCACTTCCTCTCTTCTATCACAGACCGTTTATCGTTGAAGTAATTTTTTTGTAGGTACAATAACTGATATCAACCAAATTCAATTGCTTACACCAAATAATTCAGCATATCCACTGAGTACAAATCTTATTAATACAGAACATTTGTATATGTGGAAAATTTTACAACCAAGTGTTGGTGCATGGCGTTTAACAACATCACAAATTTCCCAAATATATAATTATAATGTTCAAATTCAAGGTAAATCAAGTATTGTATGTTCATCTAGTCTGCAAAAAGACATGGAAGGAAATGTAGATAGTAATGGTTATACAGAATTAACAACAGAACCTCTTATTGATTCTGATTTATTGATTTTGACAACATGTGAAAATGTTAATTTTACTTATGCTAATATTTCTCTTATTAATCAATCTGGTCAAGTTATCGAAATTTATTCGCCGTTGAAAATAAATCAACTTGATATAGTAACAAAAATCCGTGTTCCTCAACAAGCATTTCGAATTCAAACAATAATTCAATTATCTGATGGTACTCGAATTCAACGTATTGAAAAACAACTCATTTCACCAACAATGTTTACTATTGAATTACTAAATCAACCATATATATTATCAATTGGCGAAACAATTCAAATGAATTATACTTTAAAAAGTTCATTATCTGAACAAGTTAATATACGTTTACAAATAAGAGATACATTGAATTTAATTGATTTTAATGGTACTGATAAAAATTTAACATTCACTAATGAAACATCTCAAATGGATTTATTTACATTACCAGCAAATTTTCAACAAAACTCAATAAGCGATATGATTATATTTACGTTGTCAACATACAATAGTAAAACAAATAAATTTTCATATGCAAATGATGAAGTAGCACTTGTTTATTTCGATTTAAACTCATCTTCAATTTCGCGAACAACTTTTTATTTTATTTTTTTCTTCTATCTCTTGGTTTTCTTTTTGTGAAACTGACTTAGAAATAAATCGTATTCTATGATTACACATAATTGATTATTTTCGTTTTTATTCAATATGATGAGTATTGAAGGTTAAACGGTGCACGATGTCTTTCAACATTTCCTTATTTGAGAAATGCTCAATGCCGTATTCGAACACTGGCTACCAAACGTATTTAAAATCGAATTCTTCTCAGTCGAAATACTTCAAATTCGAATTGAGAAATAATAAAAACGATTCGAGGGATCAATGATAATCTCAGTCAAAGTCGAATTCTGGATCAAACTAAACGGAAGACTTTGATCAATCGTTTCGTTGTTCCAACGATTCCAATTGACGAACGTCTTCCTCTTTTAGAAAAAACGAAGTGTCTGAAGTGTTTTAATCGAATTCCGTATTGAAATTTCTATAAGTTCTCTGTATCAAACAGATTTGACAATCTTCAACCAAATCGAATTCTTTTGATGATCATTTCAGTTGTTTTGAACGAAGAGTCAACGAGCTTTTCTCAGGCTAAGAAGGAATTCAGGTATTGCGACTACTATGCGAATTTTATCAAATGAAAACATGATACATTTTCGAAGTTTCAACAATATCTACACGAATCTCAAAGATTGAAGTGCATTTATCAAAAGAGAGACAAATGAAGTAAAGAACAGTGAGTTACAAGTTTTTGAAGATATTATTCGTCAATCATTATCTCATTGGCGCAATTCTAACCAGCTGAAAACATCTTTTTTGTTGACTTTGAATTTTATAGAACGAGAAACTAGATAAATCCTTTATTTATTTTTCTTCAGTAGAATGATAAGATACCGATGATGACGAGAACACGTAAAAAAGATGCAATACGTGTTGAGTGATAGACAATGGCGAGAGAAAAAAAGGAACAAAAAGCAGTCTTATATATCAATTGTCTTATCTTTGATATTTTCTCTTATAAATATACAACTCAAACATCAGTGCAAGTATGAAATGGTGATTGTTCATCGCATTACTTTGTCTTGGAGTAGCATTTGTTCAAGGAACATCGCTGACATGTGCGCCTATTTCCTAGTGTGAGAAGTCCTGCTCACACGGTTTTGTCATAACAGATCCCATAAATAAATGTCATAAATGTGAGTGTAATTCGTGTCTGTTCGGCCAGCCACTTGATGTACCTTGTGGACAAGGCCAAAACCAATGCGAAGCGAAACTTGGACAGAAATGCTGCGGTGACTCAAAGCGTCAATGTCAAAATGCTACGTTCTCTTGAAGTTGTAAGTCCAAAGTCGAGCAAAATGGATCATGTTTAGAATTTATGATGTTCTATAAATGATCTTCGAATTTCATCTAAATAATAAAAAGACAAATCTTACACTGTGCTCATACTACTACGGTATGCGTGCATAACTCGCTACAAAATGATTAAGCTTTGTGGTAAGAATGTGTCTCTGATCATGATTAACTCTTTGGTCATGTAACAACAGCACTGTGAATAGTGAGATACAAATTAATAGATACTTCCACTACTTCGCATTAGACTTTCAAAATTGAAAGTTGAAATAGTCGCTATTTTCTCTTTGAATAACCATGAATGTAACTGATGCATTTTAAGATTGAATCGATGAATTAGTTTCAGATCTATTAATGACTCGTTTTGGTCGACTTATTACATTTTAGTTTCAGGTACCAAGGATCTCCTATTCTCATTTCTATCCGGAAGCTATTTCTTTTCTAATATTGTTCATATGTCCTTGCGAACGCCCATTTCT